TCACTTACGAATACATCATCACTTTAAAACCACTTCATCATGCCACAGGCGCGGGTTTTCATCCACGAATTTAAAAAAAAAACACACACACAAGATCGATTAAACTTTCAAATTATCACAAACAATAAACGAAGGATTGAGATTATGAAGATAAAAAGATATATAGAGAAAAACAACAAAAACATCTTGGGATATATTTTTTCTCTTTTCCGCCACCAAGATTTGGTGATAAAGCTCTCTGACCTATCGATAAAACATATGGATCACGAGCTCTGCAAAAGTTTCAAGATTTTTGTCAAGTCCCATCGATAAAAGAACGCCGAATTTAAACACTAACAACAAATAAAGAAACTTACAAAAAAAGTGTCAATGGCTTGGAAACGGTATATTTCCGAGCAAGTTTTACATCCGACATTAACCTTTAATGAGCGCTGCAAAAGAAGAGAAGATGGTGAAAGAAAAACATATGATATACAAAAAAACATCTAGTGATCATCGCCATGGTTTTGGAAGTGGAGAAATATGAAATTAGGGTTTTGCGTGAAGAAAAATAGATGCGGCCGATTATGAATGCTTGAGGCCAAAGCCTATGTAGAGTATTATATATTTATAGATGTTATATGGTTAATGGGCGACCTATATATTGTTATGGGCCATGAAAAAGCTATGGGTCTATACTAATTATTTTGGCCTAATAACAACTCGATGGCATACGATTGTAATTATATGATTCATTAAGGGTATTTTCGGTAGACCAAGTTTTAAACTCACCGTAGAGCCGCCACGTAGGATTTGCAACTTCGTATTTATAAGTAATATATATTTATAGATGTTATATGGTTAATGGNCGACCTATATATTGTTATGGGCCATGAAAAAGCTATGGGTCTATACTAATTATTTTGGCCTAATAACAACTGATGACATACGNTTGTAATTATATGATTCATTAAGGGTATTTTNGGTAGACCAAGTTTTAAACTCACCGTAGANCCNCCNCGTAGGATTTGCGACTTCGTATTTATAAGTATAGACGATATCTTTTTTCAAAACCTAGGACATGTTGTTTTTGATGTTTTTGAAGGCAACATATCCCGGGTTCGAGCTATGAGATTACAATTCCTTTGGGTTTTTATTCTTTTTTGATTGTGGACCAAATTTTTTTTATCTATTGCTTTAAGTGGCCCACCACCTTGGGCTGGCCCTGTTCACTAGGCATCATTGTTATATATTTATATGCAATTTTTTCCTTACCACATCTTGAGACAATAATGAATCATTGACATAAAACTTTCGTAAGGTTTCTTTTCTTATCCATTGAAGTTGAGTATACAATGAGATCATTATTAGTCATCAATATTCAAGAAAGACAATGAGATTGATATTTTTGTTTAATATATAAAAATGCATGGGAGTCCAGAATCACTAGATAGATACTTGAAAACACTCGAACCCCACAAGGATCGACAAAATATTTCTTTTAGATGGCACAAAACTACATATTAGTATTTTTAAAAAATTCCCAAAATTTTAAAATATCAAGAGTGTTGAAAAGTTGAAAAATCGATTAAAGAGAAAAACAAAAATAATAATAATTGTGCTGGTGAGAGAGAGAGGAAGGAGAAGAAAGACTCCTTTGTCTCGGAAGAACC